TATCTTAGCTAAATCAAGTTTCGCATTTATAAGTAGATTATTTAATTTATAAGAAAAATCACAAATTTTAATTGCTTTAGTTAAGGCTGAGTTAATCTGAGCTTAAACTAGCACCATCTCCTTGGGACGATGCTTGGACTCACATTCACTTTATAGTTTAACGACCGTACTATAATACCCCGAACTTTACATTATATCTTTGACCAATAAGATTCATGCATTTTATGCTATTTACAGTGTCATTTGCATATTTCATCAATTTTTTTAATTGCTCTCTTAAAATGGTTCACTCGATCATGAAGGGTATAAGACCTTGTTATAGTGTTAGTCCTTCACCCCTTGACCTAGGTGGTGAATTTTACGTTGAGCTCTGGTAGAGAAATAGATTAGTCTAGATATTGGAGATTGACTTCCTAAACAATGAGAATATTGAAAAGGCCGGAATTAGTATTGACAAATTACAAGTTTTCAATTTGATTGATTAAGGTAACTTAAACCCTAGATAGGTGATTGACACATTTGGGACATGAGGCATGAAGTAACATGATCACAATGCAATAACATAAGGTTTATATGACGTTATAAACATTGAGGTAAAAATCTTTGAAATCGGTCAAGAATTGGGTGTCAATCGAGTAAGTAATGAATGAACGGTTAAGAAATTAGCTCTATAAAATATTTTAGGATCTTAGAACAAGTAAGAGGGATTGACGGATTGTAAAGACATTAAAATAAGCTAAGGACACTTGATTTGTACCTGCAAGGATAGAGGTGAAATCATATTTCTACTACCAGAGACACCTCATGCTTGTCGATTTGTCCTTATAATGGTCAATTCCTGCACCATTAAGCATTAGTCACGTCTACAACACTCTTAAGGCTTCATTAATTTAGTATATTATCCATAAGTTTCATACAAATCCTTCAAGGATAGGTACAAAAACCAAAATGCAACATGAAGACGACACCTCTTGCTTAACATCTTGTGACTTGTCATTTTAATATTCAATTCCTTCAACCTTAAGGCTCTATCATAAGACACCGTATGTGATGAGGGAAAAGTCCAATTTTGCGGCATGAAGACACCTTGTGGTGGAACACCTCATACTTGGAGACACTTGTCATTTAACCACCAATTTCATCATCCTTAAGTATCAAGCACGACCCCTACCCTTACGACTTTTTATATAGCCCCTAAATAAGACATTTAACACCCCCCCCAAGTTATCCTCAAGTGACACCAAGTAAAAGAGAAGGAAAAGGAAACAAAGGGATATAGAAAATGAGAAGCTGGGATCGGCAGTTTGTGCAGATGAGTTTAACTCACGGTTTTGGAAGATTTTCTTTCATTCCTTTTGGCTGTTTTATAACCTCTTAAACCTCTGGTCTTGCTTGAGATCATGTTGGGATGTTTTGATGATTGAATGATAACAAAAGAGGAGTAATTGATTGCAGGAATTTGGGTGAAACAACCAAGGATCGAAATTGGATAGTTGTTGGATTTTACTTGTTTCACCTTTGGTGTTACATATTTTGAATGGAACACATATTTATCACTTTGAATGTTTGTACATAAGAGTTGCAAGTATAGAAATGATTCTTAATGACCCAGACTCTGATTTGGTGGCATGCTGATACAATGGAAATCGAAAATGGTCATAGGGAAATTGCTTGATTTGGTGTTTTGTAAAATAGACTGCCTTAGAAGCTTTAAATCCTTCACTTGTGGCAACTTTAGGGCATGATTATCTTTACATACATGTCATAGAAGTGCGGTAAAAATTTGAGAATTAATGGATATAGTTGGGGGTGAAAAGGGATTGAAAAAATAAGTGGACGGTGATGTAAACCGGAAAAACAGATTCTTTCCATTTAAATTAGCTTCAATCTTTACATGTTCATTTGTTATCACTTAGGCTTGGAAAGTAAATTTTAAGGAGTCCTAGGTTGTTAACAACAATTAGATGACATTGACACACATAATTGAACTCATGAAATAGTGACTTTTATGGGACTATTGTACAATGCGATCAATAACTTGAAATGATAGAACCATCTAAATTATTTCGGAATGAATGGATGTAGTACGGGATTATGTGTATGTTAAGGTTATCAAATCTAGGATCGTGTTTAATATTAGATGGTCGTGCAGGTGGCTTTCGACTTTAAGTGAAAAAGAAAATTGATCTATACCCTATAGAAGCGCACACACAAGGGCGAAAGGTAAGTGAATATCCATTTGCAACTACAATGCAAGAACAAAGTATTTGAGAGATAGTAATGTTTGAATACTTACCTCACTTTGGTAAGGACTTCATGTATATCGTATAACAGTTGTGATTATTAAGTATATATCGACATTGGTCTTAATTAAACGTGTCATTCATGAGCATTTTCATGTACATACACGACATACATCCATGGTTGAAAATCTAGCAAGCACAACACGATTGCAAAGTTGAGTTTTCCTCATAAAATGTTTTATTGACCACTGCTAGGGCACCGAGACATATGAGACAAGCTTATGTGATATAATTTGACATCGTGGGTGATACTTCCTGAGTGATTGCAAAGGTAGATAGGAGATGGGCCTTTGGTAACCACGGGTTGGTGGACCACTCGACTGTACCCTTGTGATATGATGAGTATTAGTGTTGTCGGGTGGAATACTTCTTAGATAACCATAGGGGTAGTTAGGGGATGGGCCTCTAGTGGTTGAAAAACCACTTATTGGTTATTCGATTATTGATATTGATATTGTGCAGAGCTCCATTCGATGCATAGTAGGTAGATCAAGTGTTCAATGGAAGATTTCAAATTAAATTATTTCGAGTTAACTTTGACGAATATTTGAACACGATGCATCACTAGCATAATGTTTAAAGTAAATGACATGATGTCATATATTATTATTAATCATACTCATGGCATTCATGATTTTTGCTTACTAAGTATTAGCTTATGTAGTTCGTGCATTGTAGGTGAGAACAAAACTACATAAAAGGCACGACTAGCTATGGAGCTCTTACAAGATTCCAGAGTTCGATGTACATGGATGACGATCTGTAGGGTTATTTTGTGGGCTTCAATTGTATTACATTTTGAGAATCCTGTATGGACATGTATGACTTTTGAAAGGGCATATAGATACTCATAATCCCCAAATAAACATGTTGGACTATGGTTACATAATCTTTGGTTTCGATATTCTAGGCAAATAGAAAAAGCTCCATTCAGATAAGGAAAAAAAATAATATATACATGAAACCATGTATCTAGGTTTAGTCCTCAGGTTTAATTTTACACAAGTGAGTGTATTGTTATTTATATAACTCGGGGTGTGACTCGTACACTTGCGATATTTTAATTCAAAAAATCTTTCATAAACAAAAGGCTACTAATTAATTTTATGTCGGTGACCGAGAGTGGACCAATGTTTTTAAAAGCGGTTGATTGTTCCAGTGAAACGAAAGATAAATATTTTATGGCTAACTTGATAAAGGAGATTATAAATGAAATTAGTCATGAAAAGGTGGTTTAAGTAATAATCGATAATGCTCCAAATTGCAAAAGTGCCGGACAAATAAATGAATTGAAGTATCCTCATATTTTTTTTGGACACCATGTGATTACAGACACTAAATCTTGAATTGAAGAACATTTGTGCGCAAAGAATGTTGAAAATAATTTGATCACATATGAGGAATGCAATTGGATTACTAATCTTCATGATAATGTAATGATTATAAAAAAATTTATAATAAACGATTCCATAAGACTAGCAATGTTCAATAAATTGTGCCTTTGAAGTTGCTTTCCATAGCGAAGACATGATTTGCTTCTATTATTGTCATGTTAAAAAGATTATGAGCAAGGAGTATTCCAAATTTTCAACTACGGAAGATGACTTTGGTGATTTTGAATCTATCAATGATCATTACGGCTTGGACCCGAAGACTTGGTGGGTTGTTTATGGTGCTTGCACACCTATGCTTCAAAGTTATGTCTTAATTATTGGGGCAACCATCTTCTTCCATCTTGTTGTGATCGAAATTAAAGTACTTATTCCTTTTTGCACTCTCTTAAACAGAATAAGCTAACTCCAAAAGGTGCCAAAGATTTGGTTTTCATCCATAGCAATCTTCATCTCTTGTAAAAGAGTGCACAATACTCACAAGGAGAGACTAAAATGTGCGATATTCGGTAGAGATGCATTTGATACATTTGAAGACAGTGTGCTTGAAGTTGCTAAATTATCTCTAGACGAGCCGGAATTGGAGGCGACAGTATTTGAGGATGATGGAGATGAAGACGTTGAAGAGGTTCAAGATGAATAATGTAATTAATTTCGTTTTTGCTTTTTGAACTTGTATTATTAAGAGACATATGAATTTAATGTCAAGTTTGATTTCTAATTATCATTTAATTATTTATATATATGATACAATAGTACAAAAAATTATTACTTTAGACAATCAAATTAAAATAAACTTAAAAAATAATATTTTAATCAACATGTCGGTGACGTATCGTGTCAAAAAAATTTCAAAAAATCATGTGTCGGCATGTCCGACATGTATCGTGTCTCTTGTCCGTGTCAGTGCTTCTTAGGTGACATTCTTGTCTACTTCTCCCAGTGGCCTGGCTCACTTTTCATTAGATTGTATAATAAGTTCAATGGCCGGCAATGCTAGAGGTGAATACAGCAATACTGTTCCAACCATATGCAAGTGGGAGATCTACGCATTTAGATGGACCCAAATAAATTGATGGATATGGCCCAGTAATTCATGGGTTGTAATATAGACATGACAAGGAGAATACAATACCGAGAACAAAATGAAAACTAAACCTACTTGTATGTGCACACATTAAAACACAAGTTTATAAACCAAACAAGAAAGTTAGCTTAATCCTGATATTTATGCTCATATCATCATCATGATGACAATAATAATATATTCAATTCAGAAGCATATGATTAATCAGAATCTACATACCTTGGCAAGGAGAAGTTGAAGCTGTAGGCACTTGATCAGACCTCACAAAGAAGACAATGTTTCTTTGATGATGGCCATGCCTACACAGACCCACCTGATGCATAAATTTACTTTATAAATATAAGAACAATAAAACATGTCATTGGAAAGAGCTGTTCCAAATAAAGAGAGAGAATGACGACTATAACCTTAGTAGACACATTTCGCAACAATGTTTGATGGATCGATGGTGAGTTGTGCAAAGACACCATATCTGTTTTAATCCATGAATAAAGAAATCATGATTAATGCCTGACATCATGTAGCTGTATACTCCAAATTTCAAGATAGAATGGATTGTTTGACCCCTTCGGCCAGCTGGATTATTTTTTGAAGCAATGAGCATTTTCTAATTTTTAAATTTGAACACGCACCAGCATAAACTATTTGGCGCATAAAATATACTCTCTTCATTTCCATATTGGATATGTGTTTTAATTCATATTTTTTTATTTACTGAAGTACAAATTTTCTTGCATATGTCAAAACACAAGTCCTCTACCGTTGAGAACGTTTTCGAATAAAAATCTCCATGAAATTGCAGTGTGAAAAAATCTAGCCAATAAAAGAAGTTTAACAGGTCATTCATTCGGTTAAAATAGAGAATTTACACAAGTCATATATGACACAAGAGCGTATAATTTGTAAATGAACAAGGGAAAGAATAGAACGAAAGGGGTTCAAGAAAAGCAGAAATGAGGGCATTTTTAATTCATGTAATCAGGTTGTCTATTATATAAAATAAGCCCCTCTATTTATAGAGCAGATAAACTAAAAAAATTAAAAAAGAAACAAACTTCTAACAAACTTTAATTGTATCAAAGTATCAAAACTAATCTAATCTGACTAAATATACTTTAAATCAAGCTTTATTTCAAAATCCTAGTTAAAATCTATATCTATCTTTATTCTTATGTTGATCTCCCTCATTACATCAGTGAATAAAATAGTTTTGCATCTGTGTAAAAGTTAAAGCTCACAAGATCCATAACTTGTACCATTGATTAGCCACCACTAATTCATTTTCAGAAACTGTTAAATCATAAATCAAGTCAAGATAATGCATGTTTCATTGAACATTTGCTTTCCTTTTAGTGGAAAAGTTTGACATTTTAGGAATCGGCTTATTGATTTGGGTATATTCCCGGCAATTATGATATTTGTTCTAATTTGGTTAGTGTCATCCGTGTACTTTAATCCCCAAATTAAGGACTGCTAACTTAATATCATCATATTTACTAAATAGGTTACAAATGAAGTTTCCTAGCTCTACTTTGGTCATAAACAAATGTTAACCACTTTCTAGATCTCGATTCTCAAACTCATAAACTAGTGTTTAACTCTTTTATGAGCATGTTTGGCAAAAAAGGTTGTTATGTGTGGACCTTGCCACACAACTGTGGGTCCCGTAGATTATCTAGCTTGTAAGCTCCTTTACTAATTTTGGTCTACACAATTTAAGGGTATTACATTATAAAAATGCAACATTTTTGCCATACATGCTCTATTAAGTAAGACTTAAAATTAAGTCTTGCACTGACTTATAATCTGGTGCATCTTCTAACAGATTGTCCCAAGTTCATTAATCATTAGTGAACTTTCCGGCAAGCTCTATTGAAAGACCAGTTTCAATAAAATTTTCAAATCAACTAGCATAACGTTTATGGAAATCCAAAGTCTTGGTGCAGGCTGTCCACATTACTAACAACCCCTGCCTGCAGAATAGATTCCCTAGTCCCTCTGACAATACACCAACTGGATGCACAAAGTTTAATACTCCATAACTCGAATTTTCAGGCAAAGAAAAACAAAAAAATGAATAAGGAAACAAAATGGAAACTTATAATGGTTTAAAATTTATGGAATTCAAGAATATGGAGCATTACATGTAATGGGATTAAGAATTTCAAGAACGCAGATGATTACATGTTGGTAGTAAATACTTTACCTTTCGGCAAAACAGAACAGGGTCGTCGGATTAAGGCTTTTCCAAGTGACGGCGACGAGAAGCGGGCTTCCTGCCACGTGTCCACAGGGAAAAGAGCCGTTGGTCTCGCTCTATCTTTGCCACTACATCTCTCGCTATATCCTCTTTTCACGCAGCACAATGAAGCGTAATTGCAGAATTAGTCTCCAGGTTATTGACTTAGCGACAAATAGGTCCCGTTCAATATTTTGGTACTTAAGCCACCGTTTGGCCCCATTACATTAAATTTCATTACATTTCATTTTTCTCTCTACTATTTTTAACCATATAATCTTCCATAAAATAATATTACAAGTAAATCAAAAAATTTTACTTCTTTTTCAACCACTCATTTTTTAAAATAACACTATTCCACTCATTTCTATTTCGAAAAATGGGGGCCAAACGGGGGCTAAGTCATCGACCCATCTTTTTTGTTGCATTGTGGTCCTTTGTTGATGGAAATAAACTTATAAACAAATAAAATAAATAGCAATCCATTCCGGTGTTCATCCATGGAGAAGAGAAATGGAAATATATATATATATA